ACCAGAGCACCTGGGGGGGGGGCAGGGGTTGGGGTCTGGTTGTGCGCGGTGGTCTCCGAAGGGATGTGGAGCCTGAACAGAGGTTTCTGAGGGGCTGGAGCGGGGTCTGAGGGCTTGGGGGGGACCGGAGCGCGGGCGGGAGGCTGGAGTGTGGTTAGAGGGCTGCGAGTGGGACCGACCTGCGAGCTGGCCCCCGGGGAGCCTCAGCGCAGTCCCCGTGCCCAGCACCCCGCCATCGCGGGCGATGCTCGGAGCCATGCCGGGAAAATCCCAGGGAGCTGCGGGAACCTCCGGCTGCCCCTGGCAACAGTGTTGTGCTGCCGCCATCTCGGCCGCCCCACATCCCGGCCTCTCGGCAAGCAGGAGGCACCGGCAAGATGGCCTTCGACCTGGAGGAGTATTTGCAGACGGTTTTCCGGGACAAGCTCCGTCTGCTGTGAGTGAGATCCCCCACCCCGTCCTCCCCGTGGGACCGGCAGCTGCCTGCCTGGCTCCCACGGTGGGTGCTGCTGGCCGGAGGCGAGCAAAGGCTCGGCAACGGGGCCAGCGCGTCCTCCGTCCCCGGTGGTCTGTCGGTTTTATGTTCCCGTCGCTGGGTCCCCAGGGTGGGTGTCACTGGGTGGGTGCTGAGGTTGTGCCGTGGCTTCTCCTTCCCTGGGATGCTACAGTGGCGCTGGGGGGGCTCCGAGCGGAGGGAGGCTGAAGAGGAAGGGTGGGTGAGGGGAGAGTGGGCCAAGCCCCCCCCGTGCTGAGCCCCAGCAGGCAGCGGCGGTCCCTGGGGGACCCTGGCCATGCCACAGTGACGGGTGCCCCCACCCGGGGTCTCCCCCCCCTCCAACCCCAGCCACGATGAGCTCCACGCAACCTGCGGCAGGACGGTGCCGACGCGGGATGGTGCCACGCTGCTGCCTTCCACGCGCTTGCTGCTGAAACGGCGGGAGGTGGCGGAGGTGGAGCGGGAGCTGCAGAGCCAGCGGGAGGTAAGGGGGGCCCCCCCAGCCCCTCCGTGTGCCCCCTCCTCAGGGGCTTGCAGCGTGCCATGGGAGACGAGGAGCTGGTGGGCACGTCCCCAGCCGTTCAAGGACCAGCACCCGTCCCCAGCTGGGGTGCTCCGGCATGGGACAACGCTCCCAGCACCCCGCGGTCCTGCAGGAATTTCGGCAGAGGATGGAGTGCCTGGCGCAGCGCCGGCAGCAGCTGAGCCGGAGGGAAGAGGAGCTCCGGGATGTTGTCCTCAAATTCGACGCCTTCATCAAGGTGCCAAGGCGGGGACCCGGGACCGGACCGGCTGTCGGGGCCCCTCTGACTCCGTCCCCACGCCGCAGGCTTCA